TTTTATATCCAGATTTTTACTTGGTTAGGTTTATAAAAAAACACATGAAAATATGTTTTATTTTTCTGTCCTAAAATTCAAAACGCGTTTCTGTGGTACTCTAATTTTGTTTTCAATTTTTGATAGATTGCATAGATAAATGAAACAAATTTAGATTGGGAGTGCCTATAAGGATAATGTAAACACTATTTGGCGCTATTCTTGCAACGGTCGCGACCCAAAGCTTCTGAAAATTTCGGAGCGGTTGGGCTCTTTCCGGAATTATATCGCCAAATATTATTTATTCAAATTTATTAATATTTTCTTTTAATTTTATAAATAAAACACAGTGTGTTATACACTAAGAATGGCTCTCGGCTGTATTTCGGAAAGTATTAGCCGTAGGGCTTACGGAAAAAAACATTTATAACTAATGGGGCTATGAGAAATTGCTGGAAATTATTTTCAAGTTTGTAAAACGGCCGCTAGGGGGCGCAACTACTATGGAAAATAAGAAAATAGAATTTTTACAGAATTTTGCCTAGATAATGGGTACTATAAATAATAGCTTCATAATCTTCAGTAAATTTTGGATTTTCTTTGTTAGATATTAGCAAAATTATAATAAATACCAAAAAATAAGCCCTTAACTACCTTATTTTTACAATACGGTATCAGTAGCCCTCTTGATTATGCCCATTCCAACAAAAAATAAGATAGAAACAGTTAGTTTATTTTAAAATTGACGAAATACCAGAATACCATAATACCAGATGTATTAATATGTAATAACTAAGGTATTAATAACAGTGAACAAGAAACGATGATTCGGTGAAGTCATAGTAGGCTTTGGAAAAAAGTTACTTTTCACGTAATAGTATAAACGTCAAATTGTTATTAGATCAACGTTTTGATAGTCTTAATCGCGTTTTTTATCTTTTAGTTGCTTTTTTCAAAATACCTTCATTATTTGAGGTAGTTGAAGTTGTTGGCACAGCTGTTTAAGTTTTTAATGCCACTTTTTCACAATTATCACGGGTTTGAGTGAATAAAACTTAAATTAAACTCACAAGATTTTCTCAAAATGTCAATAATAAAAATAATCCTCTTGTAAATACATTCCGGGGACATACTGTATATCTCCGCCACTGTTTTATTATAATTCTATCAGAATGCGACGATTTTGTCCGCATAAAGTCGAACGATTTAACTTTGTCACTCCAATTATTTTAATTAGGCCAGTGACAAATTGATGCGCCGAGACTGGCCAGTCGAGGTATGGCCGAGATGTGGCTAATAGAAGGCCATTATCCAAATTAGAATAACGTGTCGAACCTTAATGCTGTTTACCTTTTCCCGAAAGCTTTAAACTTTATTGCTTATTTATTTCCATAATCGATATCGTTTGTTTGGAACTGTCGCTCGAGAATTATCCAGTTAGTTGATCTTATTTTTTTCCATAGAAACTGTTAAAATTGCCTTATATCTATCAAAAATAGTAAATAAAATAGTACTTTAACCCCAAGGGTAAATTAAATGATACTTTAACAGTGAGGATAGGTTAAAAACTTTATTTCTCCTCGCATGTTTTTTAATTCCTTCTATTTTTGAAAATTTTTGTATTCCTTTTCATAAGTTATTCAGGATTTAAATGGAGGTAGTTTGGATATGGCGTTTGTCGCCTCAGCCCGAATATCTGTTGGTAATTTACTTATTTCGTTTTGAGCCATTTCTGGCTCAAATTCAATCAGCAATCGACACGAAAGAGAATTAAAAAATATTGACTCAAAACTGACAACTAAAGAGACAGCTTTATTTATTTGACAAATTAACAATATTTATTAAAATAAATCAGCTATACTTAAATCAGCTTAAATGGTTTAAACTTCATTAGACTTGAAGATTTCTTAATTCCCAACATTGACACCCATCAGAATTGTATATTTTTACAGTAATAGATTAAATTTTTCAAAAATAATCATAATTTTGTCAAATAAGTTGAAGAATTTAGGAATTTACCGAGTGGTTAATTTTAACCGTGAATAACTTTTGAAGGAGTAGGTATATCGAAAAATTGTAAGAGACCTTTTTGGTAGAGCGTTCAATTCTGTACAAGAATATGTAATTTTCATGGCTGCGAGAGAACAAAATCGAGAGAAAAAAAGTATTTGCAAAAAGTTGCAAATTCCCATGTAATTTATATGGAAAATGAATCGTCTTTTAGTAAATATCGTCGACGTTTTGACAAATATACTGTTGGGTTAGACTATTATTAAAAAAATACTTAATTCAATAATTATAATATAAATTAAATACTTAATATCTACATTTCAGACGATTCACATAACGATCATCACGAAAAATAAAAATAAAACCATCATCACCATTAATCATATCATATAATAAAAAGAAGACGGTATGAAGTGGGTGGCATATTAACAAAATAGTTCTCGGTCGTATATATCGAAAAAATCGAGGCATTCCTCTCGTGTTTTTTTTTATTCTTTCTCTCCGTGTCTGATTGAAAACAAAGAGGAGAAAGAGAGATAGAGCTACACTTGGAGGTATTGAAAGGTCCATAAACAAAAATAATAAATGGACCACTAATAGAGCCCCAATGAGCTGACACTTGGGTACGCGTGGGCCCCTCGCCACAGGGGGCGCTGTAAAGAATTTCTTCTTTGGTGGCTCCGAGGAGAGAGAACACATCGTGGCCACAGAGCAGGACTCGAGAGAACAAACGTCAAAAATACTCTTATTTTAAAACTGTAAATTATGCAAAGAAAATAAAAAATTAATAAATAAAAATAAAAAAAAATTAAAATTAAAAAATAATAATAAAAAAATAAAAGGGCTATCCCTCGGTAGGATGGCAGCCAGAGTAGGAGACGACTTTATTTTCTTTGTCTAATTTCTTCAGCGTCTTTAGGTATTCAAATAAATGCCTTTATTGTCAAAAAATTTTGGAATTTGTAGACAAAGGTAAAGTAAACAAACAAAAGAGAATACAAAAATAAACATTTATAAATGTTTACAATGCCAAAGAATAAAAAAATAAAAATAAGATTCAAAAATATTTAATAAGTTTATAGTAAATATAGTAAAAGCAAATATTAGAACATGTTTACAAGATTAAATTCGATTATCAAAATATAAGTCATTTACGACGTAGTAAATAAGATTTCAATGCTTTGCGAAATGAAGAAAATGATGTTATGGATTTGATTTCAAATGGCAGGTGATTGTGCATTTTTTCGAGTTGTATAATAATGAACTTTTAACTAACTATGAGCGTGGGGTAGGTAGATAAAGATCTTGCTCCGCGTTCCTGAGTGGATAAGTGTGAGATGGCCTTCCTTGAGAAGCTGATACATGCTTACGTATTAGGCAAACGGATTCAAATATAAATAAGGAAGGAAGAGTTAATATTTTTAATTTTTTAAAAAAGTGCTGGCAATGAGTTCTGCTGTTTAGTCCCAGTGGTGGTGTTGTTAAGTACAAAAGGTTTTTATACGACAAAGCTTTAGTTTTAGAAATGTTGAGACTCAGGAGGTTCGAATCGCACCAAGATTTAATGGTGATTAAGCCAATCTTTGACCAACTTCGAGTTCATAGTTACACAATTGATTGCTTTTAATGCTGCTTGTCTATCGGATAAGACGGATATTTCTTGTTTCCGATAGTTCCTATCTACGATAACTTGTACGCATCTTTCGATAATGTATGGCATAGTCTAGGTATGGTTTAAAACAATAAATTATCAAATCCGGTCCTGCAATTTCAACCAAACCAAATCCAACATCTCAATGATGTGATTTAATGCCTCATCCTTAAAAATGCCTCTAATAAATACTCATTTTTCCGCTGGGGTCGTTCTTGTTCTTTATTTTTTTCCCATTCATCCTCGAGCCGCCGAAATGAAGCAAGCCAGGATGAAAAAACGAAGATAAAAGTTTACAGCCTCGGTGAAAGATCTTTATTGACTACCGGTCAGTCTTTTTTTTACCTGGGCTCAAGTTTTGCGTGATGGCTCATCGGTACCATTCATCCTCCACAGATAAGGTTTTAACTGTTTCTGTGGAACTACACAGGGCAAGATTATCTGAATTTACGTTTTATACTAGGCGATAAAAGAATAAAAATGCAGTTTCTTTGGGTTGAGTTGTTTGAAAGAAAGGTTGGTAAACAAACTATAAAATTTACGGACGTAGTCTCGAAGGATATTCAGTGCAATTTTATGTACAGGGTGGCGCCTCAAATACGCCGCGGAGGCTCCAAGGAGAACGACAGTTTGTATTGAAATGAAATTTTGTGAGCATATGTAGGTTAATTCAGAGCACTTTTTAAAGATATAGAGAGTTCCACAGGGTGTCCCCAAAAAAAGTTACACATCCAAGTTGTGTTTTTTCTAATGGAACACCCTATATATTAATTGAGTTTCGGATTCTGGGAGAGAAATAAAGGTGAGTTTTATAAGAGAAGTATATGACTAAAATGTAAGGTTTTTGACATATTTAACATTTTCTATAAATAAAGAACAATTTTTAAATTACAATAAAAGCTACCTAAATTGGAATTTACCCGGTATAGCCTAATATGTAGTTAAATTAAATAGTGTACTTTAAATCAAATTAAAACTTGATCCAAAAATTTATACAGGGTGAGACAAAATTAATATTGAACAATAGTCACCTTTAAAAGCATGTTACTCGTTTATTTTAAATGGAACACCCAGTATATTATTCCGATATTCAATGGAGAATTTATATCTCTTCAAAATACTATTAAGGTTGCCTACCCATCAAACCAAGATTTTCCCAGATATTTTCATTTAAATTGATGATTGTGAACACCGTGAACACACCACATTGACAATTGTTTCACAACAAATGTGAAAATTATCTAAAACCTTGATAACGCTCAGTTCAAAAATCAAGACGAGACAGATTTTAGAACAGCACAAACCAACGATTTCTGTTTATATTTCTCGATTAGTTTTTTTTTCTGCCGATACCACTTACCTTTTTCGACGATCTTCCCGAACAAGTTCTTCCCTTTGAGGAAGTTCCTGGTGCTGCAGTTCCATCGCAGGTTCCGGAACTGGAACTGGCACTCGTTGATGGCCAAATTGGCCCCCTTGGCTATGGCCTCGAGCAGCCCGGTGTTTTCCCGGGCCAGCCTTCTCTGTTTCCGTCGAAGGGTGCCGTGGACGGAAGTATCCATGTAGAGGGCGCCAGGTGACATGGGGGAAAGGTTGTTCGGTTCGCCAGCTTTGGCTATACCCCTGAAAATAAGAGAAGATGCTGTAAAATGTTTACTCAAAAAAGGAATTTTTATGCTATTGAGATATCATGAGAATCGGACTTGTTGATCCTGGAAACTCTACTTAATATTAAAATAGTTTTTATTTCTTACTGAATTAAATACAAGCTTATACAGGGTGGTCCGAACTGTATTCCGGAAACTTCGGCAGCATATTCTGCACATAAAAATAAGTAAAAAAGTTCGTATAAACTTATGTCCTAAAATGCTTCGTTTCGGAGATACAGGGTGTAGAAGTTTCATTTTTATTTCTTTTTTTTCTAAATAATTTATGAAGAAACGTCAATAAACGAACGGAATAACCACGGGAATAAACACCCTTATAATTCCCTTCATACCCATAAATAACTAATACATATACTTTTTTCCCAATTTCAATACGTTTTTAGAGAAAGATAGAATAAAATATAAAAATCATCGCAGGCATATTTACCGAAAAAATGAAAAATCACCCGATAAAAGGATTAAAAATAAAGGAAAAAACCTGGGATTTTGGTGTGTTCAAGTAGCTCGAACAACACGGCCCGTTGATTGTTCAAAGACCCGTTCGATAGGTTTCCTTTCTGTCGGGGCCGACCCTGTTTGCCCGGGGCAAACACGGCCGCGGCCTTTATTTGACCACAATTCTCACTTTTGTTGGTCGCTGTTAAACAGTTTTTATTGGTTTTTTGAGGAACGGGCACCGGGAGATAGAGATTTTCTCGGTGGACGCTTCATCGCGAGCAAATAGTTGCGGGAAAACGACGACAGGTGGTGTGCATTTGGAGTGACGCTTCGACCTCGCGTCACACCTAAACGATTCTTTTTTTTCCACAGGCGTCTAATTTCATATTCATCGCCTCCATGTCCATTCTTCCGACAAAACTCAAAAAAAACTGTAATTTCGATTCAAAACGCTAACGTTAGACCTTGCAAAAATTACCATACTAACCGTTTTTCCATCTGCATCGGTTGGCAGCAACGATCCTCGCCAACCATCCCGACTATGCACCGAGGAATTTAAACCAAGGCATTGTAACTTCTTTGACTAATTACCGGGTTTAGTGGGTAGGTTTTTGCCTTGTGGCTCGACCGACCTGCAGCATTCTACTGCCAGTGGCAGTGGCTTTTTGCCCCGCTTGGAATTGTTATTATTGAACAGAAAGAAACAGATATTTTTATAGGCGTAAAATAAGCAAAATAAATTAATTACTGCGCTATGTAGCGTAATTGCTGTCGGTTTTTGCCTTTTCTCGTTATTTTACTTTTCAGTTGGTTTGTTTTACTTTGAGAGAAATAATACATCTTCATTTTTTTCCCGTTTATTACAAATGCTTTTAAAAAAGTTCTGGTTCTTTGAACTAACTAATGTTGATGTAAGAAAGGGTTCACTAGTAATGTCACAAATGGTTAAATTATTTCAGTATTTTTTTCTAAACATTCATTTTTAAGACACTCTGTATACATAAACAAAATTATTGATTTTTAAAATATTATTCACAAACTAGGGAGAGGGAAATCAGGCGACGAACAGAGGTGATAGTTGTTAGATAATAGCTTCTAGACTACCATTCGAGACGCATTGTTATTATTTTGGTTCTTGAGTTCTGTGACAAAGAATGTTATTAAAGGTAAAGTAAATGTTTTCTCATAATTTAACTAATGTTAACTAAATCATATTATTTTGTTTTCTTGTTGTAATTCTGTTCTAAAGCTTTTCCTTATTCATTTGATCTAACAAAGACAATACATAACATGTGTATGCCATTTAATGGAAAAACATTCTATTTCCGTATTGTAACGGAATTTTAAATTATGTCCTTATTTTCGAGAAAATTTAGTCCAAACATAAGGAATATTTTTTTGATGTTTGACCATCAAAATCTTAAAAATAAAGAAGTTCTCTAAAAATGCGCTACAATACGGATATAGTATAATCCTTTATCTTTAATTTCCCTCTTCATTTGTGTAAAAAATACCTTGCCAGTTTTACATAAAAACGTCAAATGCCGAACGCTTATTTTGCTGCTTTTTCGGACTATAGTGAGGCACATACTTTTATCTTTTACTAACAATTTTATTTGAGCCTAATGTAAAAAAGTAACTAATTGCCTTCCAAATTAATAGAAAATGAACCGATTCCTCTCAATCTTCGGCAAAAGAAACAACTTATGTTTATTTTTCTCTCTTATTTTTCAAAGTGGTGACATCAGAGTATAAAAGTTATTTTTAGTAGCTGTAGCGACGTCATTTGTCTGCAACAACCCCGTAATATTTCAGCTGTCTCGATCGAGAATGCAGAAAGGGGGTAGATCAGATACAGGCGACAGAAGCCTCTTTTTTAACTGTTGATCGAAAGATAGGAAAAACGACGTAGTTAATTTTTATTAGAGTTTATATAGGAAAAGTATAACTATGTAGATATAATTGGTATTTTTGTTTACCATGCTTGTGTAATGATATACTATAAACATTAGGTATCTACTATTAATAAGTGCAAATATTGGATCTTTTCTTGATTGTCTTTATTGTAAATTTAATCTGCCTATGTTGCCATATTATCAAAAAATTTTGTTTTTAATAATCTATACTAATAAATAAAATCCTTAAGTGACTGTAATACTGATTAATCACGATCCTGCTCAAACCACTCAACGTAAGAAGCTCAATTTTGGCATACATGTTGATTCTAGGGTGTAGAGGTTCGATAAGAAGGGATTTTTCGAAACTCGCATTCTAAGGGGGTGAAACTATCCCTCAAATATTAAAATATTATTTATCTAAAAACCGGTGAGTTTTTCGGAAAATCTCTTAAACACGTATATTTTATTTTGTTGTTTTACATATTTTAAGATTTTTTATAAATTTATACAGGGTGTTTCATAAAATATGATCGTTGAGTAATCACGATTCTGATTAAACTGCTTTGCGGTTAAAGCTGATTTTTGGTAAACGGATTGACTGTGGGGTGTAGAGGTTCGATAAGGAGGGGTTTCTCGAATCTCAAATTCCAAGAGGGTGAAAACGCCCCTCAAATATTACAATATTTGTTATTTAAAAAACGGTTAGTCTTTCGGGAAAACGCTCGGACACGCATAATTTATTTTGATTTTTTACATATTTTGAAATTTTTAAAAAAATCGTACAGGGTGTTCCAAAAAGTTGGGTAATTAATTAACCACGATTCTGCTTAAACTGCTTGACGTAAAAAGCTTATTTTTGACAAACGGATTTTCGATCGAAAAAGTCAATTTCCAGTTTGTATATTAACGGAAATTCTTGCTGTGCTTTATCATCACCATTACGAATGATTAATTCGACGCGAACGAAGTCGCGGATACACGCTAGTTAAAATTATATTTCTCTGACATCTTAGTTTTGTCGTATTATTAGTTCATTTCATTGCGTAATATATCACGTATAAAGAATGCCCTTCTTTCAGATCTGTTTTCTAAAAAAACATCAGATCCAAATCTGAATGAAAAGACAAAAGGCCGGAATGCGTGAGAACATCACACACTGACCTTTAGTAGAGTTTTAGCGCACATAAACCGCCGCGTCTACGTACCCATTTTCAACATCTTAAAATTTCCATCCTGATCACTTATCTCGAAAAACGTGATACGGTTCTTAATCGCAATTAAATAGTGATGCTGAGTGTTTTATTTGGCCCAGGTGCGCGTCTTTTTTGTTTATTGTGTGAAGTGGTTTCGATTTATTTTATAATTCGAATATTTATCGTCTGTTATATATCGCTACCGCCTTAACGATGGTATTTAAATTAATTTTTGTTAATTAATTTATTTATTTGTTACCAACGGTAAAACAGTTTAGTACTTTAATCAAATCGATATTTAGATACATTAATGTTTCTTAGGAGATTCTTACTTACAATTTTTTTATGTACCCTTGAACAACTAAAGTATGTCCAATGATATAACGAAGATTTCGACAGACGTCATCAAAAAATTAGAGAAAAATACAAATTACCTGTGAATTTAATTGACACAGAACTACTGTCACTATCATGTATCCTCTTGCTGGACAAACTTTGCTAAAAAGAGATTCAAAGGATACAGGATCATATTTTCTTCTTTGCTTCTTTTTTCTATATCGGTTCTGTTGCCTGGTAGTTAGAGTTGGCGACATTTTCATCACAATGCCGTTTAATTAAAGATAAACAACAGCACTATGTTTAAAATGTCAACAACTCGAACACATTTATCCAAAATTGACTCTGGAGAGGGGATAAACAATCTTACAAAACAATACATATGGACAATATTTATTAAAAAGATATTTCTACAATTGCAAAAAGAATCACAACTACTCAAATTACATTGATGGAAGACAAAATTGCAAACTAGTGACACCGAAATGCGGAGATTATAATTTGTTTTGGCCATCTGTTACATCAAGAGCAGCAACACTGCAGTCTTTTTTATTCGCTCCGAACGCAAAAGCCGATGTAAGAGCATATCCTCAAGTAATTTTAGAGTTTCCGCATATTCGAGCACTATTTAAGGTCTCGACTATAATTCTTGTTCCTTGGCAGAACAATTTCTCTGTGCGAGCGCATGAGAAAACTGCATTGTAACGGTGGTATGATAAATTCAAGAGCACTATCGCTATTTTGTTTGAAATCGCTTTGGAATTTTAGTACTAAAGATTATTTTACATCAGTAGCGTCTCATTAATAAGGACACAAGCGCACGTCAGTCCCCAATATTGCCTCTTCTTTTGAAAAAAAAACAATTCGTTATACACCTGAAGAAAGTATGGCATCTTAACTGACATTAATAATGTCCCAAGGGAGTTATAACTCTATTTATATTAGAGCAACCTTAAATGATATAAGCTTATATTAATTTAGTAAGAAGGAAAAGTTTATAATATCAATCGTGGGGAGAAAGAAGGTATTTTTATGATTGAAAACATTACTAATAGGTTTCATTGTTGCCAATTGCTTAACTCATTGTTTTATGACCTACTATTCATAATAAATTGATTTTAATTAGTCTCATTTCCGTTAAATGGTTGAGAGACTTTAAAATCTTGCGTAGCCTGCTGTTAATATTTCTACTAAATACAGGATGGTCAAATCACAACGCAATTAAATATCGATCCCTATAAGGGTAGCTTTTTTCCATAGCAACTATTAAAATTGCTTTATATCTATCAAACATAGTAGATTAAATGATACTTTAACAGTGAGGATAGGTTAAAAACTTTATTTATTCTCGCACGTTTTTTAATTGCTTCCATTTTTGAATATTTTGTCGCCTCAGCCTGAATATCTGTTGGTAATTTACTTATTTCGTTTTGAGCCATTTCTGGCTCCAATTCAATCAGCAATCGACACGAAAGAGAATTAAAAAATATTGACTCAAAACTGACAACTAAAGGGACAGCTTTATTTATTTGTCAAATTACATAGAAACCAACGCCAACCCAGCACAATAATTTTTCTACTCGTAATAAATTCTTTGAAATAATAATTTCTGAATATTTTTAAAATGTAACTCGCTATGGAAAGAAATATTGTTTTATACACGACGATAAAATTGAATTATCGACTCCCGAAATTAATTCACTCGCGATTTCATTGCTCGTGAATTAATCTTTTCGGTCCACGATAAAATACCATTTTATCGTTTTGTATAAAAAATAAATATTTCTTGCTTTGAAACTACAGCATAAAAGATTTTTTCAGATGTCGCTTAAAGTTGGTGATTGTTCGGCAACAAAAAATAGTTTGACACAATATAATATGACTCTATAGTTGAAAGGAAAACCTTTTCAATATAATCTTCCTCAGTTAAGAACGTGTCCAAACTTGTCCAGGGTACTAAAATAACCAAACAGAGAGTCAATATTAAAAGAGACAGACGGAGTCAAATAATTATTTTTAGTGCTGAACGGAGCCAGTATAGCCCGAGTTTGGGTTATAAAATATCAAAATTAGGGTCAACTTGGTATATAAGAATATAAAGACCCCCATAGACGCTCAGTTTTTTTCGCACAATCCGCTTGTGCAAATCTGATTCATGCAGGAATATCTGCACGTGTGTGTTGGTACTTCCTGCGAACTGTGCAGGCTGTTGAAGTTTCCTTATAATGTCGGTTTTAAGTATCCAGGGGTAGAACTCTGTAACTAAATAGCGATCGGTAGCGATGAAGAATACTGTCGGTTGCCAAAGACAGTATTCTTCATTTCTAGTAGTACCTACACATTAATCAAATGTTTTCTACTTTAGATAAAGTGGCATTCTCTAAATTTGAATATTGTAGCGTTTTTTTTTATAAAACATTACCACTGCGAACGGCAGCTTTTCATCAGAGAGCAGTCGTGGATAAGGTATTTCACTAGAAAGAAAACTAATCAATAACAATAAACAAAAAAATATAAATATTGGGCGCCAGGCATGTACAGAGAAAGAAAACACAGTTGTATATTACTTAAAACTAGTGACTATATTTATTCATGATGTTCTTTGATGGTAAATAACATTGTAGAATTCTAGCAACTATAGTGGGGGGTTATAATGTCGAAAGTAATTGTACAAAAAGCCAAAACAGCTTCATCGACAAAGCACTCACAAACAACAAAATCACAAAAAAAAATACAAACAACAAAAAATACACAATACAAATAATACAATTCCAAAAAATGTAAGTTTTTAAAATTACAAAAAGAATATACATGGACAATTTTACTTGAATGGCTATTGGCAATTAGGACTATGTTATCAGCGAATTTTAGATGGTTAAAACATTCTCCATCTATTTTCAATCCTTTGCTGGTCCTGTCTAGTTTGTTGCTGTAAACACCTCTTTAGGAATATCGCCTCTTTGGGAAGTTGCCAGTTCGGAATTCTAGGGTTGTGATTCTAGGCTCTTTGTATATAATGGCAAGAGCTTCTCTGTATATTTTTTGATTATCTTACAGATAATTGTGAGATTTTGATAGACAAAAGAACAAAAACACATAAAAATCACAATTAAAATGGCATCACCTATATACATTCAGATTTTACCTCACTACAGTAGACAATTAGATCTAATCGCTGTGGCATGTTTAAAAAATCTTCGAAACCGAAGCTATAGGCCACCGCGAAACACGTAATTTTATGACGAATCGCTAATAGCTCTGTCGAGACCGTTGTGAATTGTAACAATTGTCAGGGACAAAATGGTTTGCATAAATTAGCATACGTTTAGTTTAAGCCTCCTTGCCGGCGTTTTTTTTTTCGTCTTTTTATCCTTTCTTGTTCACCTGTACTTTATTTAACTGGCTGGTAGTACATTCCAGTTAATTTGCCTAAGAGATTACATGCTTGTTTGTTTTACATAAATTAATATGAAAATGAGCTGAATATTTAAATTGGACTATTAAGCTTTTTTTAATTAAGAAAAATGGGTTTTGATTTGATTATTTAGTATGGTAAAAGTTTTTTTTTCAAACGTCACAAAAGCATTAATTTTTGCTACGTGATTTAAATTCGATTTACACCACAGCCAATCCATACCAGCCTGCCGACTTGCAACCATTAACATGAAAATCTGCGTAAATACCGATATTTATGTAAGTCAGGTTTTCAGCTCCATAGAAATTTCATTTAAAAATATATTCGAGACATAGCGTAGCGTAGTGAAATGCCGAATACTAAAAAAATAAATTATGACCAGCTGGTAGCAAATGAGCTGTGATCTCGGCTGTGATTTAAGCACTACTGGCTCATTTGAAATGCTATTTTTTGGCTGTATTATTGGATTATTTATTTTAAACATTGGAGTAGTACATAAAAATATTTACGTTCGAGAAGGTAATATCCTGTCACTGTTGGTATATTTGTTAAAATGTCTTTTTAGTTTAGTAATAGCAGTTTTTTAATTTAATTTTTTAAAGTTATGCACTTGAAATTAATATAGAAATCAACCATTCAAGATTTCTCCAAGATTCGCTAAAGTTTAAAATACCGTCTACACTATTCCCAAAATGTTTCACGAAATATTTCTGGAAATACTTCGTAAAACATTGCTCGAAGCATTTCTCGAAATACTTGCACAATTAAACCCAATGCTTTTCTTATGTTGCGGGGAATCTTGGCTTGTCTCGACAGCAAACTCCGAAACAGGTCGAAATCGACCGAGACAAACCGTGATTGGTTGTTTGTTTTTTATTTTTGCATACTTTTATTAACAAATTTACAAGAGAGATCAAATGTTACAGTATTTTTCTGTCCCAGCCACTAAAGACATTTTTTATATTCCTTTTGGTAAATGGATTCATTAATATGTGAATGGACTCACATAAATGACATTGATTAACAAACAAAACCAGGAAAACCAGCTTTCTCGCGCTGGTTAGTTTATTGACAGTTATAACCGAATTTTTCAGGAACAGTGTTCCGTAATAAGAAAACTTTCAGGAAACCGATAGAGACGGAACATAAAACCATAACCAAGGTAATACACCCTTAATACAATAGGTAATATCCTGGAACAAAAAGGTTTTTACAAGCAGTGTTAATACAAATACATCGGAAGATTAAAAAATGCAACATTTGTGTCATTTTAAAATGGGACAAAATATACTAAATTCAGTAAGAAATAAAATTATCTATGTTCCACGGGAATTATAAAGTATAAATAACCTCTGGCAATAATTGACAGACACTTTGCCCTCTGTAATTAACACCCTTATAATTCCTTTGATACATAAATATCTATTATTGGTAAAAAACGTCTTATAAACGTAGAGAACACCAACAGCCAAATGGACAAGAAACCTTGCTCTAAAATTTAATTTTCTATTCCACAATATTTTAACTGTCTTATAAATATTGATGGGGTTAAATTCACGAAAATGGACTCAGTAATAAATATTTAAAAATCTAAAGTCTATACCTATGTGTCGGATTCATCTCTCCAAAAAAAAATCTTTATGGATATTTCGCACTGTAAGAAAATCTACAAAATAAAATAGTTATTTTTTGTAAACACTTCTGGCGTTAAACCTAAACGGACACTGCTTTGCAGTGTAGTGGAGAAATACCAATAAAGGATTTTTTGGAGAAATAAATATTTAATAACAAAATACAATTTTTAAAATTTTACATACCACCACATTGAGCCTTTCCCTCTATTTTTACTTCTCGTCGCGATCGCTAACTCCGCCCCGACGTTAGCGTTAGCAAAAATAACCAAAACTCCCGTACATATCACAAAGCACGTTATCCGTATCACAAACATCATCTCGTATTGTCAAAAAAAAATCAAGTCAATTTCGTCACACACACCAAGATCCCTCCAATTAAAATAGTGGGAGTGAACCAACAACCAACAGTCACAGTGTGATATATATCACGGGACGTTCACGGTATATCACGGTCCGACACCTTGGAACCTTCCGCAAAAAATAAACAATTCTGTTTACCTCCGGTATTTACTTTGAGAGAGATGGCCAGAGCAGACTCTCGCGCTGGACCAAACTAGGGATGCCGACGGACGCAAACGAAAAAATCCGAACCCAGCCGAACGGAGATTTCGAGGAGGAGTTTTGGCTGTGAGCGTCCGTGAGCTCTAACTAAAACGACCACGTGAGAAAACTAGCACGTGGAGCTAGACCACGCCTTGTTGAAAGCTCCTGCGAATCGGGACGCAGGACACGCCTAGGGTGGGGTTTGGCTCCGCCATTGCTCTCGAGACGAGTGCAGAGCAGGAAAAGTTTTGGAATTCTTCGCAGATGAGCTTCGTATCCTGCGAAGAATGCTGCAGGATGTACGAAGGGTTTTTTGCTTTCTTTTAAATTTAATTTTACATCCTTAAATTGCGGGATGTTAGACGTTATTTATTACCGTAATTTAGATTGTTCTTTGTAATAATGTGGGGTTATTATTGCGAGTTCTATAAATCAAATTTTATTGAAGATAGAACACGTGTTCTGTGGTAATTGCTTTGGGAAGAAATAAAAAAGGAAGCAATTAGATACAGTTCATAAATTTCGATATTATTTTGTAAAAAAACTATAGAAAAACAAATTTAAGTCCATTTTTTTATGAAAGCCTACTGCAGCGTATGAACATTTTGTATTTAAGAATAAAACTCAGTCCTTAATTGCAGCTCTCCAAAGCCTAACGATTGGTTCTAGCACTAAATCAACATACCTCCGGCCCATTAAAGTTTATTGAAATGATAAAATTGGAGTTTTTGCTCCCAGCATATCTCCCCAGAACACTACAGTCTCTCCTTTATATTTTTGCACAGATTTGGTAGCCCCGCAACTCCCTCCTACTGTACAACCCTCAACCACGAAGCCTTTTTCCTATGGTTTCAACTAAAACGTACACACCTGTAGCTGCCAGAAGTTGTCTTTGTAGCTCTGGATGAGGAACATTGGGATTTCTTCTAGCAATTTGGCACACCAAGCGGTCTTGTTGTTCAGTTGTGACTCTTTGACAACTTTGTCTGGGCCTGTTCTTGAGAGTTCCTAGTTCCAAGCAGGGGGGTGACAGTAAACCGGAAAATTGGAAACAGTTGTGGCGCGGTTCTACCCAGGCAGAAAGCATGACCTTCTAGACTGTCCTAGACAAAAATATGAATATTTCTATATGATTTCTGTCAATTTCTGCTACCGAACATTTTTATGCACGTCGACGTCCTGTTCTTTTGTCTTTTGTCTGTGTGTCAGCGTCAGCTCCCGAGGCCTCTGGCAAGGTCGGGCGCCATTTTAATTTTTGCCGTTTAGATTTGATTGGAAGTTTGTTTCTTATATTTCGGCTGAAATTTATAAGTACAAAGATGTTTTTTTGATATAAAGTTCCTTGTTAACACTTTAATAAAGTATATATGATATTAATTACATGAAGAAAATGATGAAATCGACGTTTCTGCGTGTAGTAGGTATGGGCCATATTATATGTAAAAATAGGTAATATATTAACGTTTTTATATTTTTTTAGCTTTAAACCCAAGGATCTTGGGATATTCTTTGCCAAGGATTTTTCCGTATCTCTACTTTAAAGACTGATAGGTGATTTTGAGCAATTGAAAGCAAGTTATACAAGGTAAATTATGATTATTGAACTATTATTAGCCTACATTAATTTTCTACAAGATGAACAGAAATGCGTAATTACATATCACATAGGTACCTATTATGTATTTTCATAGCAATAATGCATGTAGATTATTTTTAAATGTAGTTTTTTAATGTAGTTTTCATGTATGTAGATTATTTTTAAAATACAAATGAGCTATTAGATGTATATGTATCATATTTTTTATTCATTCAAGTCCTGTTTGATTTAATTCACAAAAGTCTTATGTACCTATATTTATGTTTTTTACATATTTTTTTTTGATTCCAGGTTTTGTGTGGGTTCCGGTTGCCTTTTTCCTGCTTCCAGTTATTTAGTTTTATGCCCGTGAAGCTGTGAAAACATTTATTTATCTTCAAGTTTCTGTAAGTCAATGCACTGTTACTTTACTAATTCACTTTAACACAGCATCTCTGATATTATTTAAATATTTGATATTGATACAGTAGTTTATTCGTTTATAGCTCTTTAATTGTGTTGATTTGCATATTTATATTGTTCTAAATTCCAAATAAATATTTTTGAGTAGGTAATTTTGTTGTATTATTTACTACTAGAAAGAGTAAAAGGTATATTAACCCTCATTTAAACCTCCTGAACAGCCCGCCATTAAAAACCGGAAACGGAAATAAATTTCATAAAATTGAAATTGTCATGTCTATGTCATGTCAAATGTCCCAGCCGCCATATCTGAAAATTAGTTACCCAGGCAGCCACGCTGTTTCCATAATTTAACATTGACTTGACACTTCTTCTTGTATTTATTATTTTATGGTTCCAAGTACCTTGCATATGTTTTTCAAAGACCCTGGGCAACGCCTACTATCTCTGCTACGTCCCTTTGGAGCATTCCTATATATATACATCTGTTAATCCCTCTGTACAAAGATGTTGATCCAACATAAGGCATTTTTTTTGGATCGAATGAAAACTACCGGACAACCGTGATTTTACTATTACAGCGCTTTCAGATGGAGCGGAGCGTCCGCGACGGACCGTCCGCCACTTCGAGCATGCTCCGTCCGGATGAGCTATCTTGAAAAAACATCCGCGCGTACGGTACGCTCCATCTGAAAGCGCTGTTAAACATAAAATTCACAAGAAAATAAATCGCAGAAGTCGTTTATTCTTTATTATCGTGTTTATTTACCACAAAAACCCTTATCTTAGCAGTATACCAATTTTTTCTGCAAAAAGTCAAGTGAGAAATAAAGAGTGATTCCATGTAAGTTTGGTTGTGTGTATATGATCTAGCCCAAGTAGCATTTTCACGACTTGCGACCACATGTTTACTAAACACAACGTTGGATTAGTTTCAAAAAATAGTTAGCTCCCTACCTTGGGTATTAAAATAAATTTAAACGTTTTTATAACGTTGTGCCGACGTTGGACTAGTACTACAGCAAAGTAGAAGCTTCTGCGACGTCGAATAAACGTTGTCTTGTAACCTTTTTTGCTTAAGTGATCTTTAGGTGATTCGGACAACGTAGTTACAACGTTGAACAATATAGAGTTTTCCGACGTCAGTTTCAGGACCTATTCCAACGTTATGCAAACGTCGACTGTTTTACTAATTCCAACGTTGTTTAGATTTCCTTATTCTTACGTTGGTAGGACGTCGAGTCACTACCTTTTTGCAACTGTATTGAACCATAACCTTAAATCTTAAATTTTCACTTCATTGTTCTGTTCAGTCAGACAGTTCAGTGCTGTTTTTGTTTTTATAAAAAAGACTTAATTAAAATGGGACATAAGAAAGGTACATATAAAACTAAATTTAAATATACATCGACATATATTACCGATAGTTTATCCACTCCCTCGTTTATTTAGATTATAGAGGATTATTTAGAGAATCTAGGATGACTAAATTAGGCAATCTTGCGACTAGTATACTACCTGTTAAGGCCGAACTGCGACTTTATTAGTCCAGTATGCGACTACTCGAACTACTCCATCTTAATCTCCAAAACAACAAAGTGAAAGCCGCCATGTTGTTAAATAAGAAAATGTTTCGTTTCTAAAATAGCAATTCCTGCTTTTTGAATACATTAACTTGAAATATTTGACCCTAAAAACACGCGGAAACAATTTTTCGACTGCGAATAAATTATTCTCATTTTACTAAAAAAAAAAAATTCAAGAAAATTTTTAAAACTTCTTTAATTTTAAGGCCCATTAGTATTTTTCAAAGTAGAAACAATACATTTATCAATAAAGTTGTTTGCGTTTAACTTTTTTGCCTTGGGTAACGAGTTACAGAGTCGGTTAAAGTGTTTCAATAATTATGATCTTCAAACATCCTCCACACTTAAATACTTTTGTTTTGTTTTCCTTCACTGCCATGACATATGTCTCTAACTAAATCATAAAAATAATATTTTTACTATAATTATCCCAATTTAGGATAAAACGCGACTTAGACGCCATATTAGTTATGTATTTCTGTGAATTAGGATTTTAAACAACGTTGCAGTTTGTACTAAATTAGGCTTCTAGCCAACGTCGGTATCCAACGTCGCTTCGACCCAAAAATTATTCTCCAAACTAGTGCAGACTAGGGTTGGCACGAGGTTGTGCCGACGTTGCGCCCCGACGTTTGGTCGCGTGACACAACGTTGTCCCGACGTCCAAATGCTGCTTGGGAGAGATAAGTACCAAATAAAATACTTGCACATATTAACAGACACACCTTTTATAAAACAAAACAAAATGTATTAATAAATACTGTTAATTCAGGAGACCCAATAAATTATTTTTAATGAATTCAATCTCATGGAATTTATCTTAACCAGTCCACAATCGTTTAAACAATAAATTACCGTTGATGGGATATCAATTCGATAATTTCGTTTCATCATCCAACAATCCCAAGCGTGGGAACGTAATATCATCCATGGCAAACAAAGCAAACCGATCCAACACCGAAATATAATGGCCTGCAATTAAAAGCTATAGGTATGTAACGCCTAATGCCATTGGACAATGAGACGAGGAATCCGTTGGAAAGCAGGCTGGAGTGTAAGCGTGCAATTATTGAGATGGAAGTATTGAGATAACGCGCTGAAATAAGGATCGGACAACAAAGAAAGTTATCATTATTAAATTAGCGTTAGATGGTTGTTAATAAAAGAGTAAAATACAAAGTTGTTGGTCGACGAGGTCGGGAAAATAGAGGAATAAATTTTATATACAGAATGATTTCCGGATTGCAATACCTATTGCTAACTATACCTAACACAATTTCGATTTCATTTTTTGATAGATGGTTATTATTAATTTTAATTAAAGTCTGTCCAACGACAAAATCTATCACAGTGATAGATGTGTCTGTCATTTTAATTTCAAAGTAGTTTATTTTATTTTACAAAGAAATAATTTGGTACAAGTGGAACGCATAGCACAAAATCTTTGAATAAGAAGACTAAGGAAGGAGCATAATGCTA